CCCAGAAACCAAATTACATACACAATAAAATCAAACTATAAATTTGCCTTTATAAGACTTGAGCTCCTCTGAGTAACTCCTCTATAATAGTATTTAAACTTAAGGAATTGGAAACAAGATACTGAACCAAAATTATAGTCAGACTGATTCAATATATTTTACTTTCATCACTCATGACCCCTGGGTTTGCTTTGATGATCTCAGGTGAGGAAAAAAAACAGTGGCTCTAAGGATGTACTAACCATCTGACAACCCTGATAGGAAGCAAGTTTTAAAGCTCTGATGTTTAAATGTGGATAAAGTTTAGGTGAATAAAGAGTATAAAAACTATTACAATTCACACAGTATTTATTTTTTATTCCACTGGAGCATTTGCCATAACTAATGACTAGTAGGAACAAAAAGACATTAACAATCAATCAAACATAAGATGTCACAGTTGCATTTATAGAGGTTTTGGAATGGCAGTGTTTAAAATAAACTAAAATACTTTTGTTAAACACTGACTCTTCCAATACATTACAGTATTACTAGCCCTTAGTATGACTCAGCAAAAATAAAGTAGCTCTCAGTTTCAAAATAGTTGGTGACCTGCTTTAGAGCAACCAGAAGGTTTAGATTGAGATGAAAAAAAAGATAGAAATGATAAATATATACAAAAATAAAAACATTATTAAGATTTTAAAAAATAAAGATATAACTGAATACAACTGAATGTCCACTAATTTAATCCTTTGCTTTAAAATAATCAGTGAAGATCAATGAGACAAATAATTGGTTACAAAGGTGCAGACATAAATCCCAGATTTAGTTTGTCAAGCTACTCTGGTAAAACAAAAAAACAAAAAACAGGAATACAAAATGACCAAACAAGAAAGAAAACTGTCATTTTCATTTGACAGCACATTTATGCATTATAATGATTGACAGATGTGGTTTTAATTTGACAAAATATAAAAAAAATTGTCAGGTTGGATGAATAGATAATCGAAAAATAATTTTTGCTAAGACCCTGCATGTGGGATTGTTTTCTTTTTTTTTGTCTGTTCCACTTTTGTCTGGTAAATCCAGATAAGATGTTATATCTCAGTGAATAGCGTAAAAAGTACCATTTAATTAAATGAAAAATAAAACCAAGAGTATACAGCTTTATGTATTACTGAAGCATAAAGGTTTTTCTGCAGCGGCTGGTGTCAAGATTCTGCCCTTTTCTGGACTTTTTGGTTCTGTTCTGTTTTGAGTTTCACTTTGATTTATGTCATTCTGTGTTTTCTGGGTCTTTGGTTTCATTTTCATTTTGTGTCATTCTAGTTGTTCTCTGGTTTTATTTGAGCTCTTATTTGTTTCTTGTTTACTCTTTCTTGCCCCCCTGTGTCACTCTCTTTTCCCCTAGCTCCCTTCTAGATCCTTCTGTCCACACCTGCTCCCAATCAGTTGATTACACTATCCATTATTCTGTTGTGATTGTTGTTATTTCATATATTAATTTATCCTGTTTACTCACTATAAAAGTTTTCACTCAGTCTCTTTCACCTGCAAGGCCACACCATTCTAGCGTGAGGATGTTTGTAGACCAGACATAGCTTCTTCCCATAAGAAACCAGATTCTTTCTCAAGGCTTATTCATAACATATAATTTGTTTTGACCCTGACTACTTTCCATTGTTGTAAGTAAGGGGGAACGAACGCTGCTCAGGCAGAACAGGGCTGAATGCTGTGCCATAAAGACTGTATGATGAACTGTTCTTTCTTTGCAAAGATATGAATAAAGTGCCGACTGAGTAAAATCCATCGATCTCCGTTTATTTAACTAGAGTGAATAGTTGAATACTTTTTTTCCCACTACAGCATATATACTCAACTGCTCCTCTGCAGTTACTCTTTGCTGGACTCTCTTCATTCTTCATTCCTTCTGTTTATTCCTCCCTAGTGTTTCCTAGTTTTTGGTTCCTGAGTTTCTTGTCGATCGGTTCTGGAGTATGGCTTCTGTATTTTAACTTCATTAAATTTAGCAAGAGATCATCTCTGGCTCTTTAGCTCTGCATTTGGTTCCTCAACGATTATCCACTAATCCTGACAGCTGGTGCAACTAGCACAGACTGAAAAGCCTTTGCATGAAGAAAACCCGGTTAACAGAATCAATTTGTGACGCCATCATCATTGGTAAAGATTACAGGGGCTGTGGTTAATTTTACAATTGAGGCACCGTTGTCTTTATCGGTACTTTTTGATTTGGATCTACAACCACAGATCTTTGTCTGGACGTTCAGAATTTGTTTTAACGCAACACTAAGCTCGGCGTGGCTCAGAACAAAAATGACGCTAACATTATCAAAGACACGGAGCAGTGGATCATCTGTGTAAATAAAGAAAATACTCATGCTTCCTAAAAAAATAAGATGTCATACAAATCCTGTGGATTTACACATTCTTCTGTTTATTTTAGATGGTTTTAAGAAAAATCCAAAAGATTTCTAAGTGATTATACAGCATGCCTCACTTCTGGATTGGCTACCAAAAAACAGCGGCCGTATCCTGAAATAAGAAAAACAGATTCGGCACAAAAAATCGATGTGAATGTTGATCTGAGAAATGACTCAGGAAAAACAGTGTAGTTTCTTTACACTGAGCCTTTGCGCTCCTAAGGTTTCAAAGGTTTCACAGCTTTGATGAGGGAACTTCCGATCTCACACTGTGCTAGCTGCTGATTAGTTCAGATCATACCATTTATTTCAGTGAAGGAACGGAGCCCAACAGGATCAAAGAAAATGTTACTCTGTGGTGAAATATTGAGTCTGTCAGTAAAACTGGACAGGATAAAAATCAAATGTATAAAATGCTGAACATGTTGAAACTAACTGCTGTAAAAGCCAAAGTTATTAACATGGCCTCTGTGAAAATTAGAAACTGTGAGTGTGGGTGTCATTAAAATGATAACATGGTAAATATTAGAGTTATAAAAATCTAGTTTTCTGTTTTTTATTTACTGGCTTTTTTTTGTGCCTCCACTTTCAGCTTTTAAATTCTATCGTTCATGGCGTCCACAGAGTGATGTCTTCAACTTTTAGACGATGGCAATGTGGCAGCAGCAGCCGAGTTAAGCCAGCAATGGTGGACTAAGAATGCAGAAACTGTGAATAAAATATAAGTAATACACTTTCTGTGACCAAAAGGGAAAGTCACAGATGTTTTGGTGCCTCCCAATTTGCAGCCTCATCTTGTAAAATTATCATTTCAATGATTGATGATTAGGAGGACCATTTATTTTGATGATCCACCCATAAAAAGAAAATCCTCCACTATACCTTTAAAGAATATCAGCTGATTGATTTTATGATTCTTTAGGTGTTTTTGGTTGAGCAGTTTCCACTCCCTCTCCCTCAAAAGGCACCTGATTCGTTCAGAGGTCTACTCCTGAAGGCTCATGATCGTTATTAGTGGTTTTCAGTCCCATAGAATGGCTTTAGATTGTGCCTGTAGGCTCATTAGCTTGTTATTACCGAGTGAATCCTAATCCTAACCCTAAAGTCATTCCTTTCCCCCCGCGGAATTTATTAATCAATGTATGTGTAATCTAAAAAAAATGTCAGTAGTTCTTCATGTGCTGTAAAAATAAATAAATAAAAATAAAACGATCCGCGTTTTGCTCATATTAAACAAACTAAGAGCAAATAAATCTCATATCTTGTACACTGGGTTGTAGAATGCTTTCCATATAAATATTTAATTATTATATTATATTTTATAATTTAATTCTCTGTGAAAAAATGCTGATCATTCTTTAATAAGATCCTCCTCATCTTGTAACGATCTTGGTTCTGTTGGTTTTCTCTAAGTTTTCGAAGTTTCAATTTCATCCATGTTGTTCTTTGTTTTCTAGCTTTATTGGTTCGTTCTGGATTTATTTAAGTTTCTTAGGTTTTTCTTTGCTTGTCCTCTGTTGCCCCCTCTTGTTTTCTTCTTTCTCTCGTCAGCTCTACTTACACCTGCCCCTTAGCTCGTTAGTCCTGCCTTTGTTCAGTCAGCCATAAATACACTCCCTGTGCAGTCCCTCATTGCTGGTTCCTCGTCTTACTTCCTCTTACCCTGGCGCCTTGTGATTGTTTTCCTCCGATGTCTCCATGGTTCTGGTTTGAGTTTAATTTTTATGTTGGATTTTTGGATTCCCGTTTTGCTACCTGTGTTAAATCTGCAAGAACTCTCCTCAGTCTCCCTGCCTCTGCATTTGGGTCCTCACAAAAAACCTCCAACACAATTGTGACACATCTAATGGACATGCAATGTTTGTTTTTAAACCTAATGTGTGTAACAAACCCAGTGAATGATTTTTTTTTTTTTTTGTTTTATGCACAAACTACAACAAAAACCTGACTACATCACAAAATAAAACAGTGTGCTTGGATGTAAGGAGAGTGGAGACGGAGGAAACTCTATGTAACGTGTAATACTAAGGGTATGCTGGCCTGACCCGGTATGCTGAGCTGACAGAACACTGGGGTGGAGCAGAGCAAATAGTTATCGTACGTGGATTGCTTTCTTGTGATTGGCTTATAGAAGGGAGCTCTGTGATTGGTTGTAAACCATCCCGTATAAAAAAATGCATTTGTGTATCGAGGCAAGTCAGGAGAGTCTCAAAAATCCACACACCAATGCAGTGAAGTTTAAAGACCACCGATACTTTGTAATTGAATTTTTAATTGTTTATGTACCAGAAATACTTTGCCGAATCATGTGCTGTGCATGTGTGAATCTTGTATGTGTATTTGTCAAAATTGAGACCGATTTAGCTCCATAGCGTACAGCTACTTACTACAAAAACTAGTACTTCTGTTATACTAATTTTGATCAATCATCAGGGAAACTGTGTTTGCTGAAGAAAGAGCTTCCCTCATCTTTTAATCTGATTCAGCAAAGGTTTAAACAAGTACTGCCCTGTATGTAAGAATAAATAGATCCTGATGTCTGGTACCAATATAAAAGTTTTGTTCATCCAGTCTTACCTGTGTATCTGTCTGGAGGGGACGCTGGAGATCATCTTCCTCCAGTTTCCCAGCATCTTGTTGACGGCGCTCCTCTGTTTAAAGAAATGTCCCAGTGAGCTGTTCATCATCACAGACTCGTCGCCTTCCGCGCTGTCCGCTGCACCAGAACCATACTCTGCATGAGCCCCAGTGCTGCCATTGCTCATCGTCCTTTTGACCGCATCCCTGCTCTTCAGTGTCACCGAGTAGGCAGACTTTTTCCAGTGACCTAAAAAGAGGACTACTATGCGCTCCTTCCTGAGGCTGGTGGTTTCCTGGACATCTGCCACGTTTTCATCATTATCGATCCCAGAATCACTGTTCTGGTCTGTTTCAGCTGCCGGCTGCAACTCCTTCAACTGTCTATCTTCAAGCAGAGAGGAAGGACAGAACGTAAGGCCTTCCTCTGGATGGTCTGGTAAGGATGTGCCCTGATTCTCAAAGTTTGACCTCAAAGTCCTCACAGACACTCCGAAATGATGGATTTCATCCTCGATGCTCTCCCTGCGCACCCTATTGGAGATCTGTCTGTCCGGGGCCTGGGAAAACACGGTGATGAGTTCAGTGTTGGGCATCTTACAGTAGGGCTGGTCTGTCAGGTTGGTCATGAGGAGAGACATGCTTTTGACGATGCCTGAGATCCGGCCACACCAAACAGGTAGGGGAACCTGGCTCTTGAAGTTCCTGAACTGGGTGTTGACAGTGATGTTGACGATGGGAGCTGGGAGGATGTGCCTGAGCTCCTCAGCCAGACGAGCCAGCTCCAGCTCGTAACCTGCACAGTTCCTCTGCAGAGAGACGTTGGCAATCTGCTGCTCCAGATAGATGAGGTCATCCTCAGTCAGCAGCTCACCGGAGGGTCCCAGGATGGCATTGTGGGCTTGGGAGTACCTCCAGCTGACTTTGGCATATCTGTTCCCATTTTCCTGTAAATAATACAGTCGGATGAATATACAGGATGTCATTATAACGTCCGTCAAGCGTCTTAAATGTGATGGAAAACAGTAATGATACAGTAAAACTGCAACACAGCTCCCATCCAAACCTCAAGAAATATGACTCGGCTCGCAAAGCACTATGTGTGAATGATTTGTTATGAGCAATTAAAAGTAAATGGTGACTTTAAACGTAGATGTAATGTAGATTTAAAACGACATTACAGAGTCACAGTACATTTGGTGCTTTTCTCATCACAGCCTCAATGGCTTATTTGTTTGGGAGAAGCAACGATGACAGAAAAATCAAACGGTGGTAATAAAAGTCATGAAATTGTAAAACACATGAAGTATTAATAGGAGCCTTTTCTGTTGGGGACTATTTCATTTTAGAATAACGGATCTATATGAAGTGAAAGCATTTAGGTTTGGACTGAAAGAGCAAAACAGTTTACTGGCACATGTCAAATTTCTTATGCAGTTTACTGACAGAACATGTTGCAGGATTTTTCAACTCTGGAAAGAATGGAGGTGCACTTTATATTTTCTCCCTGATTAAGATTGAATTAGGTTCCAATAAAATAGGTTAATTCTGTCCACTTCTGAGCCAATGATTTAGTCTTGGTTATAATGTTTATGGACATCGAGAAGAAAACAAGTAATTTAAGTCAGTGACTCCCAAAAATAATAGTGACCCCTAAAAACACACTAAATTATTTCATGCTACATTTCCAAACAAATAGAAATACATACATTTATTTATTAATTACATTCATGACTAATTTTAGCAATGCTGTTTATAGTTTTCATTATTCAACTGTGCATTTTATTATTTAATTGTATATTTAGTATTGGAATCAATATAAGTAAGATTTACATCGACATAGAGTGATATGGATATAGAGCTGTCCATAGATATCCAATTTGATTTTTAAGCAATATGGCTTAAATATTGAATTTACACATTTTTTTTTTCACACCAAATCTGATTTATTGTTAAAATTTTATTTTTATAAACAAAAGAAATATATTACTTTCAAAAACTAGCTTTTCTTTATGTCCTCTCTCTGGGTGTTGATCTTCATTTAAAGGGCAACAACATTTTACAAAAAATAAAAATGAACACTAAAAGTTTGCAGCTGATGCTATTACACAGTGAGCTAGATAATCAGTTCTTAGTGGACATTTAAGAATGAAAACGGATGAAGTGAATTCCCCCTGAACTATAGAAGTGCAAAAAGTGAAATGGTTGGAAAAACAGTTTTGGTTCCAAAAATGAATCTGCATAAATTAATAATTGATAAAGTTGATTATTCTCCCAGCCCTTAATCAACTTATCTAATTATATATTCTGGTTCTCTGTATGCATCAGGAATCACATCACCATGACTGTAAAAATCATTTTGCGACCCCTTAAATTAGTGTTTCTTGACCCTCACTTTGGGACCCTTGAACTAAAGCTGGTTTTCAAATTTAAAAGAGGTCCTGCTGCAAAACCCTGCAAGAAAAAAAAAGGAAAAAAATGGGTGCCTGAAAAAAAGTTACAAGTTAAAAACTCTAAATCTTAAGGGAAAAGGATAGTCGGAGCAAGTTAAATTGAAAGTAAAATTATTTAATAAACAAAAAGAAGCAACAGCCCACAGCATTAAAGATCTCCTACCATACTTTACAGTGGGAATGAGGTTCTCTTCTTCACATTTAGTTCTTTTTATTATACTAAAGTCTGTCTGTCTGTCTGTCTGTCTGTCTGTCTGTCTGTCTGTCTGTCTGTCTGTCTGTCTGTCTGTCTATCTATCTATCTATCTATCTATCTATCTATCTATCTATCTATCTATCTATCTATCTATCTATCTATCTATTTGTCTGTCTGTCTGCCTACCTGGCCGCCCGCCCGCCCACCTACCTACCTACCTACTTACCTACCTACCTACCTACCTACTTACCTACCTACCTACTGTACCTACCTACCTACCTACCTACCTACCTATGGATGGTTTGGAAGGAGAAAAAACTTTTCCGATGGGTAATCTTGTAAAAAAGAAAAAAAAAGAAAAGAAAAATGTTTTATAAATAGCTGATTGAATAATTGTTCTCAAATGTGACAAATTTGCTTTTTTTCCTCCAACATACCGCTGTCAGAGGAGGCCATTGCAATGTACAGGTGGGTTTATTTTAAGGCTGTTGCCAAAAAAATCCACAGGGTGCCAATTAATTGATCCAGCTCAATTGGAACAGCTGGAAGCACTTGTTGCTTTTATATCTTATTAGACTTAATTGAGGCATTTTTAAACACATTTATTACATGTGTAGGGGATATTTAGTTCCATATACAGATGTTATCAACATAAAGTAGCGCTAAAATGAAGGATATGAGGCTGCTTTCCTTAAGACTTCTCTTAAGATTTTCCTGTTTTTAATTCATGGACAAAATGAATCCAAGTTACACGCTGTGAATTTTCTGAACATTTACTCTAAGGTTCTTCTCTGACCTTCTGTTGCAACAACACGTTTAAACATTTCCAGTTACTACTGAGCAGTTCTGTCCATGAGGTTTGCCAAAGTTCAGCCCATTCCAACCATCATGACAACTCTAGCTAGGACATACTGAGACACATTTCTCAAGAGACACATGCAGTAGCTTTACTCCTGGTGAAAACATGTAAATGCAGATTTCTAAGGGTTTGAAAAAGTGCTAGAATAACCTAGCGGCATGAGTGCTACACTGTGATGGATTCAGTAACCCACATCTTGAATGGACAATGTTTCCCTCCAATAGCAAGTGAAAGTTCTCCAAATCCACCCATTAATTAGCTCGTCTCTTGTCCTCATAGCCCTCTTTGTGCGACTCCAAAGATTTAACTCTGGACTCCAGTGACGTAACTCCACAGCAAACTTTAGCTCTGCTAATTTTGTGGATTTGGTCGTTGCTTCAACTAAAAATCACGCTGAAAATAATCTACCGGTACTTTTCATGTTTAAGCCTGTGTCTCTAACCTGATCCTTCATCATTTTATCTGTTTTGAAGAAAAGTTTATCCTAGATCATGAAAGGGGACACTATCAGGTGTTGGTGCTGATATAATGTTCTTATGTTCATGTCTCTGTGTGCATTAAGGGCTGGGGATTTATTTCTTCTCTTCTCCAGACAGATACATTTATAAAAGGTGATCTTTTAAACCTCTCTGCAAAGTATACTGCAAAAATTATCTAGAAATAAACAAAAAAGGTCTTAAATTAAGCGTATTTGGCCTTAATTTGAACAGATAAATAAGATAATTTGCCAATAGAATTTGTTTTTTTACTCTTAAAATGATATTATTAGACAATATGCACTTGAAATAAGCTATTTTTGGCAATTGTTTTTTTTTTATTTTAAATGTAGATTGTCTTGTTCCATTGCAAAGTATGTCACTTACCTCCTCAATTCCAGAAAAAAAGGCACTTATTTTAAGGGAAAATTACTTATTCAGATTAAAAATTTTTGCAGTGGAAATCTTTAGATAAAAAGGTGCAGCTCTGATCTACTATAGGATGTCAAAATGTCTTTGAAAACATTTTACTTTAAAAGTCCAAAATTGTAATTTGTATTATTGTAAGGTCAACTCCAGGTGTGTATATTATGAATATTACCTCTGTTACCAGAAAGTATTATTTTGTAGAAATTATTGTTCGTTTTGGTGCTATTTGCTATCCAACCTTGAAACGAGACATTTTGTGGGTACCGCCCCTTTCATGACATCACTCTAAGAACACTGTAACATTTAAGGATGTTTTGAAAACTAAAACACAAGCATTAAACAATGTGCTATAATACAGATATGTGAGTAATAAGCCAATTCTACTGCAAGAGTTTAGCAAGTGATTTTATTCACTCACAGCTCTGAGCTCTACATCAGGTGTTTTCATTGTAGGAATAAGGATTGTTTTGCTAATCCACTTTGGTATCAACTCTGTACAAGTAGGGGTTCACCAAGCATTCCAGGCATGCTAATTCATATTGCCCACTTCAAAGTACCCTACATGAGAATTTAAGTAATCAATTCTACTAAAGATGAACACATAAATTAGTTTATCAAGATCCTGCTGAGACATTAGTCCTTTAGTCATGAATATTTTTTTAGGTGATAGAAGGCCGATTTTCAATTGTCTTTATGTTCGTCTGAAGGTTCAGGTCTGAGTCCATCACTACTCCCAGATTAAAAACCTGATTGGTGGTTTCCAGCTGGATTAACTGAAACTGTGTGCTAAATTGTAAATGCTCTTATTTGGTCAAAAAAGTACTTTAGTTTTGTTTTTATTCAGCTGAAGATGATTTTGTTACATTCAGGCATTGGTTTCTTCTCTGTATTTACCCAGAGTTTGGATGGGTTAATGGTCACCTGGTGACAATGTAATGTACAGCTGTGTCCCTTCTGCAACACATCATAAAGTTTGTTACTTCTGTTGTGTATTAAGATCTGAGTTAGAGGGAGCATAAAGATAATGAATAAGAGGGACCCTAAGATGGAGCCTTGGGGAACGCCACATGTGAGTTTTGACGTCTTTAAATTTAAAGTTACCTACTGGATTTAAACCAGTCCAGTGCTGGACCAGAAAGGCTGACCCAGTTTTCCAGGCGCTCAAAAAACCCCAAAACAAAGTACTTAACAATGCCCAATGCTGCACTAATATCCAATAATAATAGGACTGTTGTTCTTGTGCATTTATAAAGATGTCAATGAACTCCTTGACAAGGGCAGTCTTTGCTGTGGTGAGCAGAGAAGTCTGATTGGAAGACGTTGAAGCAACTTAACATTGTTAGGAAGTCGTTTAGTTGTTGAAACACAGCTTTTTCAATAGATCTACTGATGAAGGGGAAGTTTGAGATCATTGGTGAAGAAACTGCCAAAGACAAACACAAACTCCCAGGTTTGTAAAACCCAACCGCTTATAGTGATTAGGCTCTTCTTTGTGAAGACTGAACAAAGTCAACCAAAAAACACACCTTAGTTCCTTGACATTAGCTAAAAAGAACAGTTGCTGTCACTGTACAGATTAGCTGCTAAAAGAGCTACTTTGTTTTAGGTTTGAGCAGAAATGGGAATGTTGATTATTGTGCAGGCGGAGCTCAGTCAAGGTGGTTTGTCCTGGAGTAGGTAGGTAAAAACAGCTGAGACCAGGGTACCATTAATTTTCCAGGACTGGGAGGTCCATGAGAGCAGAATTCACCAATAATTTCTCATACATGCATGAATCAAGAAAAATACCAATTTGGAAATTATTTTTAATGAGGGAATAACAATATAAGACTTTTAAAAGCTAAACAAAAAAAAATGATTCTACATGATATAGGAGCTTAAAAGTTATACACAGCAAGGCTGTTTCTGCATTCTGCATAAAAAGGGGCGCTTTTAAAAGCCAATTTAATTAATTATACTTATTTTAAGAGGTCCAAGCTGGTCCAACTCTTGGTTTTTTTCCTAATAAGTTTTTTTTTTTTTTTTCTAGGACTGGCAAAATCAAAGCCATAGAGATACGAGATTTCTGACAACTCCATTGACGACAATGGGAAACATTTTAAACAGCAATGGCGACACGCATGTTAGCTACATGAGCATTAGACTTTATTAAACCATTTTAAACTACAGGAAAATAGACAACAGGTCTTAAATATCACATCATGCTCTCTGCTTCTATCTGATGTTCAAATATAATAATAAATAATGTTTGAGATGGATAAAACAGTTTATTAGTTATGTTTATACTAAACAAGTACAAATACTAAAAAGGAATTTGTAAAACTACATCCACTCATACTTAACACCCATTATTTTAAGTAGAGTCAGGAATAGGCCTAAGAATAAAAAAACAAAAAAAGAAAAAAACACATTTCACACTGCTAACAACAGAAGTATAATAAGGGGTACAACCTCTCAACCAGTGAGTTTTTTCCCTTATGGCTGTGTATTTTGTGAAATAATTACTAAAAGTCACATATCTGCCTGTGTTTTGATTGAGCCAAACTATTGGACTCCCTAGCAACCTAACTTTCTTGGTTTTCCGCTAGCCCAACTTTTATCTCTATGGCTCTGAGTAAACTGTTCTGACATACGTAACTCAACCATTGATGTTGCTAAGAGAATAACTTTTTTAATGTTTAACTTTAAGCAGCCAAATGTAAACCAAAATGTTAAGAGTTCATTCATCTTGTCTGTATCGTTCGAGGAATCCCGTTGAAAGCGGTAACTCTCCTGTTCTTTTTTTAACACACTTTCCTTCCAGATATTTTACTTTCGGAATAAAATATAAAGATATGTAAGAAAGACGACACTCTTATGGATCTAACTAATGACTTTACCTTCCTCCTCTGATCCTCCTCATCCAGCAGCCTGGCCTGTAGTTGCCTCACCATGACTTGCCTCTTCCACTCAGCTATGGGGTGACCTTTCTCATCGTGGGTGGGCACCAGATAGTCGATGTCTGACAGGTTAGCCTCCTCAGTTGGCAGGACCACCATCTTGCTCTGGAAAGAAGCAAAATGAAAAATAAAAATAAGTAGGATGTTGTGTATAAACACCCTGATAAAACGGTAATTCCTTCATAGGAGCCAGATTCCTGTGAGCCTTTGATAGGGGTTACGCTCACTTCAATTAAATCTGTGAGGAAATCCAAAAATAGTGAAATGACGGACAAAAAAGTTGTGTTTTTGCATAACAAGATGATTTTTAAAACTTGTTAATCAAAGCAGGTAATGCAATGTGTTCTTATAACAATCCAGACTGAAGAGAAAACAGGTTTTAAAATATTAACTGTATACATTTATAAAATTCTGAAAAGTTCTTTCATTATTTGTAGTGTAACAAGGCGGCAGACGTACTGCTTGTCCAGCAAAGACTCCTGACATCCCTGACTCCTTCAGCGATTTAATGTTCTTCATGTCACCCAGGAGTTTCCTCTCAGCCAGGAGGTTTGTATCAGGAAATACTGTCTTATCAGCAGAGGCGCTTCTCTCACTCCCAGCTGCCTTGGACTGATTAAAACCTTTAATAACTGCAAAATAAATCAAATACGGTTTATGCCCCACTCATCTTCATCACAGATTAAACATAGCAACTGCTAAACAGTACAATTTGTTTCCTTACTTTGCTAAAAGAGTTATCAAACAAGATAAAGAGAAATGTTTGTCTCACCCGATGCGGCAATCTGGACCTGCTCTATTCTCCTTGCTGCGGTTCTTCCTGAAGCAGAGGGTGGTGGAGGTGCAGGGGCGGCCTGAGGGTATCTAGCCTGTGGTGGCTCCTCACACTCAGGTTGCTTCAAAGAGGGATTCTTTTTTTGTTATTTAAAACTAGAAAGAATGAAACAAATATGGAAATACCTTTAAATCTAATTACCTTCAAACTATCCATGTGTTTGTTACAGCTTTGACTGTCTCTGCACTCCTCACTCAGCCTCCCGTAGTAGTCCTCTTTGCTGCGAGGAAACAACACAGTCTGCTTCACCTCCACGTCCTCCTCTGCCGGAGTCAGAACCTCGATGGATCTGTCTGCACACGATGCCTAAAAATAATAAACCATCAGAAAACTGCTGGGTGGCTCAGATCATACCATTAGAGATGCTTTAATTATGATTATGCTGATCATTATCATAATTTATCTGCTTTGTTTTTAAAACATATACAAATAAAAAATATAACCATGGATGTCTGGGGGACAGTGATTTGCCTACATGTTATGAATGCTGGCGTACCATAAAGAATAAAATAGGGAACAGTTTAGTTTGTGCCTTCAACTCGTTGCCCATAGAAAGACATTACTTGGATATAACCGGAATATCTTCAGAAGGGCTACAAATGACACAAGACTCATATGGGTGAGTAGAACATGATGTAATAACGTAAAATACAGGGGCCAATGTAAAACGTCGGCGTTCCTCTTTAAAGCTTTGGGTGACATCAAATAATTAGTTGTCATCTTAATTGGCCAACCAATCAATTAAGATGACAGGTTTTAAAATATGCCCTTTCAAGAAGTATCAGCTCAGCTGTTAGTCAGCTGGCTAATTCTGCATATAATGAGGTAAAGTCAGGTTTTCACATTCCTACAAGTGTTAGATATATCTCTCCACAACAAGCCTGAATCAAATGAATGACACGTGACCAGGCCTCTGCAGAGCTGAATGATCAGCTAATGAAGGAATTCAGCTATTTGATTCCTTTAGACTATAGCAGGAATGCATCCTAATCTTGTACGATGACAGCTCTTGAGGACTTGGCCATCCCTCGCATAAGCTGAATCTTTCCTTTCAAATTTTAGCAAGTTACTGATAGCCCCAATGCTTGTTACATATGCCTGATGGCGAGGTTGGCTTCCCCGCAAACTCTCTACATCAGTCCCACTAAGGGTACTATTTGAGGCTGGAAAATGTGGATCCCCCTTTGTTACTGTCCGTTCAGCAGCAAAGGAGTTGGCGGCTATTTTGGCTAGAAATAAAACAAGTAAAGATGATTAAACTGAGGCAAACAGGGGCTGAAGTTTTTTCAGCAGTGACCTGGTCATCTGTTTTCTAATCAATTGCCTGAATGATTCAAATCAATTGTAAGAGACAATTAATCCACCGTCCTCCTTATTTTGACCTCTACTGTTCTTTTATAGAGAAACGTGATCATTTCATTTCTTTGCAGTGGCTAACAGCTCACTGGTTTTCAAAAACAATGAAAATACCGATAATCTGTTATGGCCTTAGTAGAAATAATCCTATACTCTCAGATGTAGCTCATACATAATTGAAGTAGGTAAACAGTTGGTAAAAACACTCAAAATATACAGAATAAACTAAGAAATATTTAGTATTGATAATCTCTTTGAAATACTTTAAATAATATTAATGCATTAATACTCTGCATCGCTCGATTTTCCATCAGAAACAGAATTTTTCATGTTTTCCCACAAGGCCTCCAATGGATTAAGTTTCAGGAATTGGGATATAGCCCAGAGGTTTCCAAATTTTTCAGCTTCTGACATGGCTGCTGGAAGGCATTTTTAACAGGAGATGCTGTGAAAATTTTGTTTTTTTTTGTTAAAAGACCTATGTGCCTATAGGCCTATTTAAAATACAATAAGAATGAATACATAAATAGATTGAGATTCACTACTTTATTGTCATGTAGCCTTCAGTGCACGCAACCAGGGTCTGTAAAACACAGACATCATCAGTTCTCGGGTGAATATATGTGCTATTAATTAAACTTCTCAATAACACTATAACAACGTAGATTTGGTCTGCTTGCATGAACCTGAGTCACTGTGTTTATGTCACATGTGACTCTTTTAGCTGAAAAATCTATTTATGCAAACCACAAGGAAATAATTATATTATTATACTATTTAAACTTTATTGAACAGTTCTGCATTACACTAAAAACTAAAAATCAAAATAACACTCAAAATTACTATGGCTACGTTAAACTGCATGAACAATGCACGAATGTGCGCGGCATTGTGCTCTTACTCTGAGCCACAGGCAGGGTGGCCTGCCTGGTTACAGGTGTCCTATTGCTCAGGTGCGCTCTGAGATCGTGGAGATAAAGTCCCTCATGAGCGGACGAATCGAAAACATTTTTCTGTGCCATATTTCCTTCTCGTTTCTGTCATTAGACTATATTTACTAGTCTGCTGCCACCAGCGGGATACCACACTCTAGCTTGCTTGCCTTTGCCGAGAACGTAACTTCCATGAACCTTGTATTGATTAGGCCTCAAAATAATACAATTAAATTCATTAAATTAAAATTCAAACCCACGTAATAGTAAAATAAAAAAGCCAAAATCATTTCCCAAAACATTATATGCAAAGTGTTTAGGCCTGCTGATGTCTTTTTTGGCCTATGCGGCAGAATAGCTTCATACGGGCATCTTCTCATCGTCACAGTTCTCACTGTTACCTTCAGACACGCTTTGGTCCCATTGGAGCTGATGATTGGCTGAGTCTTTTCCATTTAAGCTAGTCTTTGATCCATTTAAAAAGCAGCCTTTTGTTTTTTTCCTTGTCTCTCTGGTTTTGCTTTCTAACGTAAAGCGTTGGAGATAATCTCAAGCAAACAGCCTATCACTTTCTCTACTGCTTTAAATGTTTCCCCCTCTCCGATACACTTTTTAATCAAAGTGAACTGTTTTTCTCAGCACCCACCCATTTCTGTCCCGTTTTGAAGGACAAACGAGTACGTACATTCTGTGGTGACTCATTACAGGACAAATAACCCTAGAATTCTCTTATTTATGATAAAGAGTGGACTTAGATGTCTTATAGTGCTTTTTGTTTTGCCAACTTATTGCCCATTTGTTGCAAACCAGATTTTGTGTCTAAAACCATCTGTTTGCTCCCCCATGTTTAATGACCAATTTAAACAACAACTGATTTAAATCAGAGACGGCGGTAGCTCTACAGCAAAAAGATTCAGCCACCCCAGACCCCAGTAGCCTCTATAAGCAATGAGAAATTTCCTCTCTACATCCCAATATCATCCCTTTGATCGCTGTCCATGCCGCTGTCTATCCATCAGTCAATCACACCTGGTCTGCCAACCCTGCTGCTCTTCCATGAGATGCATTATTTACATATTAGATGTAGAGAGAAAAAAAAGACTCCATAAGCGGGCTGAGATGTTCTTTACATAAGGGCCACCTGATTGTCACCTGTTTCATCACAGAATAATTGATTTCTGAAACTGAACTAAACATCTTTTAATGAGTTATTTAATTAAAAAGACTCAAAAGCATGAATGTAGAAAAAACAAAAAAATCTGTTTCTTGGTTTTTATGACTCTACTTCACCCACTAATAAAATAAATCTTATATTGCAAAGTGATTTACATCGAAACACGGTTTTAATCTGATTGGTTTAGTTGGACGGCCGTAATTTTGAAGACATCTGGTGACATCATGGTTTCCTCCACTGTCTTTCTGCTCCTTGATTGGATTGATGAAGTGAAGCGATCAGTTAGGTATCTCCTCATTAAACCTCTTTGATTCGTTACTGCATATCCTCACATAATTGTTGCAAGACAAAATCTGTTATTGGGAGGATCTAATAAACAGTTCCAATTGTAACAAGGAAATAGGAGACTATCAAGGAGCGTAAACAAGGAACAAAAGAACCAAGACAGATTGGTCCCGGCAGTCAGTCGAGATTTGTTTGGATTGTTCTCTAACAAAGTAAAAAGAACATTTGTATCGGAGATATGAAGGGGAAAAGTTACCATCTAAAGAGCTTGGATGCTGTTTAACTAAAAAAAAGACCAAAAGGAGAGAAAAAAATGATCAGGTAAAATAAACTTTAAAGCGTCACAAGTGAAGGTAATATTAAGCCTGCAGACATCCTCTGTAAAAGAAAAAGAACAAAAGCAGTGTAATAAACGAGCGTGAATAAGTGGCGGCACTTCACACCGCTTGGGGAGGATGTAGGATATATGGAAACGTTTAGGCTCCCTTTAATGAACCTGTATTGGCTTAATGCGCTCCATACACAATGCATATCAAATTCAGCTCTCAAAGGACATTATTAGCAACCGAAACATCAAAGGCCGACCCTAATACGCCGCTGCGTGCTGTTGTGCTTTATGTCCACGAGGTGGTCCTCCCATTTCCTCTCACCCGGCACTTTGATGTTGAGCTACATGAAATATTCTGTGACACCAATCAGCCGGAGAAACAAACTTCCCAGAAGTTGTGCAATCCATAAATAGATAAACAACTCGAGCTGGGAAAAAGTAAGGGTGTGGGGAGAGGGGGCCTTCTGACCCTTCTCGTAACAGTTCAACGTCCCGAAAGCACAGATGAACCTTGTGTGTGCTTTTAATTGGACTCTCTGGCCAGAAAACATTTGGTTTTCATCAGGACTCCGTCACACAGTTGCCACGCAGCTACAGATAGCCTGCGTTTGGCTCCCAGCCACTCTCCCTGGGCCCGAAAGACAAGAGAGACGCCGATCTCCACAGATTAGCAGCCAAGAGTTAGGAAACAGCTATAACACACAGTGCTGTCCCATTGTGCAGCATGAGGCATCAGTGATGTTCAGTCCCAACAGAGAGGAGCAACAAGTGAGCCTTAAGCTTTTCACAGCAGCGGGTGGACTTAAAAAACACCACATGTGATGCTGCGCTGGATTTAATCTACAAAATCACCCGCTTCTGTGTAAAGCAGGCCTATTACAGGTGCGAAATAGCAAGCTGGAAATGTATACACCCGGGTTTGCGTTATACACAGAATACTATAGTGTAAATACATTTCAACCCACATGGCTGCATACACTCAGGTTTCCCCCACAGAGAGCCAAAAAGGCTTGGATTAACTTTATTCGCATTTGTCAGTTAAATTAATGAGAAACAAATCAATTTCATTACTACACTGAAAGAAAATAATGCAACCGTTTCTGGCATCTACTTAACCATATTTAGCTACTTTAACACCAAAGTCCTACCATGTTAATAAGAATAAATTGCATACATAGGTAAATGCCAAAAACAGTTGCATTGTTTTTTACTAACTAAAAAGTCTTAAAAA